CTATAGAGCGTAAAAAAGTCGTATTTTCACACTGAAACTACGAAAGTTTCCATAATTTTCACGTTTGGTCGAATTCTTCTGATGGAGCTGGGGGACAATGTCATTCTTTCAGAGCTTAGGTTCACGTGCATCTTAGACCTATGGGATGCAATGTTTTCAAAGGCTATGATTGATAATGTTTGACAATTCCTGATGGAAAATTCTCCAAACGTAGACAACTGCCTCGGATTCCTTTATATAAATGAGATATATTTTAAAACAATATAATATTACTTCAGAAAAAATAAAAAATAAAAACTTATAACATATGATATGAATAGATTTTATGATTAACAAGAAAAAGTATTGTTCATAGCTACCAAGCAAGAAAGGTGACGATGAAGCTTTTAATTTACTAGTGGACTTGTAAATTATTGAATTGTAATTGTCAACGCAAAAATATAAAAAAGAGCAAACTTTATAAAGAATAGAGTAAATTAGACGAATAGTCCATATTGTTTCAGGTGATTTGAACGTTTAGTCGTAAATCAATATTAGAGAACCAAGATGTTCCCTATAGCTGATCAAACAAATCATCAATCCTTGGGAGTGGGTAACGGTTCGTCACCGTTATCTTGTTCAACTCCCGGTAATTAATACACATGCGATGTTACCCGTCCTTCTTCTTCACAAACAAGATCGATATCGGGGTTGCCTATGGCGAATTGCTCGGTCTGATGAATCCCTTGTCTAGCAGTTCCTGCAGCTGCATAAACAACTCTTGCATATCGGGAGGAGCCAACCGATACGGTGCCTTGGCTATCAAAGCCGCACCTGGGACTAGGTCAATCCCAAAATCGATCTGTTTCTCTGGAGGTACCCCAGGAAGATCTTCCGGGAATACATCCGGGTACTCTCGTACTATTGGTATATCATCCACCGTCGCCTTACCCTTATCCTGAGTATCCATAACATAGGCGATATAACCTGCGCACCCCTGCTGAAGATAGCTCCTAGCTCTCGCTGCTGAACGTAGAGTCAACCCATGTTGCGGCCTCTCGCCCTGAGTCACTAACCCTCCTCCACTAGGAGTCCGAACCCTTACTAGCTGCTACTCGCAGTCAATCACTACCCCATTGGGGATCAACCAATCCATACCAACTATAACTTTATTCCCTCTCAGGGGAATAAGAATCAAGTCTACTGAGAACTGCTCATCAAACAACTATAGTGTACACCCGCGGTAAACCCTCGCGAGTCGTACCATCCTATCATCTGCTATCTTGACATCCAATGAACACTCTAGCTCCCCAGGAGCTCCAATGAATCGCTTGCTAAGAGCGAGCGACATAAAAGATCGGGTAGCCCCCGAATCAAACAGTACCAAAGAAGATATATCGTTCACTAGGAACGATCCTATAATAAAACACATTAACATGAGCGATAATCAATATAAATAAAGAGATAAGGAGAGAATACATATCAGTCACAACATCGGGAGCCTCACGTGCCTCCTTAGTAGTGAGCTGAAAAGCTCTGCTTGGGTGCCTCAGCCCAACCCTAACGGCCATCTATAATCCTCAGTGTGGTAGGAGCAGGTGCCGCCACCTGTCCTGCTACAGCTAAAATCGGGCACCGGGACCGCTTGTGTCCCCTTTGATTGCACTTAAAGCAAATCAGATATGATCTTGTCGTTATGGTAGCAGCTGTACAATACCTGCTCATATGACCAGGCCGACCGCACTTGAAGCAGCCCGAACTCCCTGACTTGTACGCCCCCCTCGTGTAGCTTGTCGCACTTACCACACCAGCTGTGACACTGCTAGCTCCTCGATCTGTGATCTGACACATTGGGCTTCATGCCCCACACTCACTGCCTGCACCCCCTGGGTTTCCTCTTCCTCTCCATCTCCAAATCTAGCTCACTTTCCCGAGCTCTCGCAATCATATCCTCCAGCATATTGCAGGTGGAATGGCTCACATACTGTCGTATGTTGCTCCTCAACATCTCGTGATATCAGGCCTTCTTCATATACTCATCCACCACATATTGCGGAATAAGAAAGGCCCTCTCCCTGAACTTGTTGGTGATCTTCGCCACAGTCTCAGTAGTCTGCTCAAGATCCTAGAACTTCCCCGTTAGCTGTTGCACCTCAATCACAGGTGCAAACTCAAACCTGAACCTAGTCGAGAAATCACTCCAGGTCATAGCATCTAACACTATATCATCCCCAATGGCTCTCCCAACCTCCTCCCACCAGTCACTTTCCTTGTCCTTCAGAAGACAGGACACAAGCCTAACCTTATCCCTTTCGGGACATTTGCTGGTGCGGAACGTGTTGGTGACATCAGCCAACCACCTGCTGCTAACAATGGGGTCTCGAGCCCCATGTTAGTCGGGAGCTCCATACGCCCTGAACTCCCAGAAATTCAATGTGCACGACCCCGTCATGGCCACCACCTCAGTACGAAATGCACTCAACTTGTCATCCAGAATCTCCATAATACCCTCCTTGATCGAACCAAAGATCACATGAGTTTGCTCTAGAATGCTGCGCGTGATCTCAGACGAAATAAACTCCCTCGTTTGCTCGTTGAGATGCTCAGCTCCAGAGCCTGAGCCTGATCCATCATTAGCACTTGAACTGCCAACTGCTGGTCTAGGGTATAAAACCACCATTCTGAAAAACACATCATAACAAACATCAGAATACTAATATATCTCGAGGGATCTCATACACTACAAGTTCCCTGGATTCATCTCAACCTTCCTTGATTCGAGTATGGATCCTCTGCTTTCGGTAGTACAAGTCCATACTACCTTCCACATCTATCTGTACGTTCCTCAAGAACTACCTCGACTCCACCAAGTCCCTTCTACTACTACTGCTTCACGTGCCACTCTTATCCTAGGCTTTCCCTAGGGTAATCACCATCCCACTATCCGCCATCAGTTGCAGAAGAAGTCCCTGCTATATTCCCCTAACTATCATGTGAATACTATTACATATCACTCATACTCGATAATTCTTCGAATGAGAGATCCTACCCTACAATAGTTGGACTCAAAAAAGAGCTGCAAAATAGAGCTAGACCTAACCTTCTGAAATTATTTAGTCCTTGCAGTATGTAACTTAACATATTCGTTTACTAGTTACTAAATGACAACTAGAACTCCTAAAAGTACAAAGCAAGCAACATTCGAGCATTGAGTACACATAATCAAGAATATTTTAATAAGGCCATCATACTGACTACTTTGTACTAGCATGCAGTTCTCATAAAGCTGATACACATATAACATGCACATAAGACATCCTCCCCAGATCCTTAGTCATAATCTATCATGTAGTTCTCATAAATCTGATAAGCATATCATAACATAAACTCATATGGGTAATTTGGGAGTACTTACTTGAGCATGGCTGATTGCATGCACCACACCCTTTTTTTTTTCTTTTCAAAGTACTTTTTTTGTTTTCAAATTCGTTTCTATTTTCTAAAAATCCTTTTATAAAAATGATTTCCTTATGAAAATTCTCATACCAAGTCCCTAGTTTGAGTTCAGACATACCCAAGAGTGTACCCGAATCCCTCAAATCAAGGCTTTGATACCAACTTGAAACATCCAAAAAATACGGTCCAAAATTTTCGTTTTTAAATCATTCATAATAAAACTATAAGTCATCCATCATTGTAAAGAAAACCATAAATTGTGTATCTTAGAACATCGTGTCAAATACTATATCAAAATCATATGAGAAAATATCCCTGGCTGAAACTGTCGGGTGTGCGATGCGATCATCCCGAGCCCTTTCCCTTGCTAGTGGAAGTACCTGAAACCAAAACTGAAAATTGTAAGCACGAAGCTTAGTGAGTCTCCCCAAACTACCACATACCATACAAATAACATAAAACATATCTTGGCCCCCCCTGCTAAATCGAGTCTAGCTCGTAATCGGCTTTCTCGGCATTGGGCCCTGCCCGACATTGAACCCTATTCGGCATCGGGCCCCGCCCGACATTGAGCCCCTCCCGACATCGAGCTGACCTCGGCATACATATACATATCTATATTTATATACATAAGTCCATAACACTATCATGAAAACATTCCTCGAGAACCTCCCCGGCATCGGATTGGAGTCTGGAACATACTATCATATCATATTAACTAGACATTTCTCGGGATTGCCCCGATAACGGACCTAATCCCGGAAAACCTGAGACATAATAAACACATGCAAGAATCACAAAGACATTAAGCATACTAGCATTCCTCGGGACCTTCCCGACATCGGATCAGAATCCGGAAAACATATAAATCTACTTCGGGCCCCGCCTGGCATCGGACCATGGTCCGAAACTAGTGCTATCTAAACGGTCGTGTGTTGGTGCCTTAGACCCGTTCCTACTAGAGAAAACTCACCTCGCAAAGTTGTCTACGAAAACTTGCGGTGAGGAATATCTAATAGCTACTCCAACGACTCCCTAAGTATCAATATCACAATAATACTTAGTTAAAATATGATAATCCTTCTTAGGGTAAAATTATTGTTTTACCCTTGGTCTAAGTCAATATCCTGGTCAAATTTAAAGCCACGGTCAGCTCCCAGTCAACCCCAACTCGGCGAGTTCATGAACAACTCAGACACGAGGTCAACTAAGTCAACTCGTCGAGTCCCTTAGTCAACTCGTCGATTTCTTCTTGTCATGATAATCGGGACTGCCCGCTTCAACTCATCGAGTCCTTTCCTGGACTCGCCGAGTTCCCCTGTCTGATTGAGCCATCTTAATAGATTAAGCCCCTATCTTCTGGATCCAAAGTCCTTAGTTTATTTTCTCACTGGAATGGCCTTTCTAAGGGCAAAGTTTCCAACTTTTCCCATTCATAACTCTTCTTAAAGGGTTTAGACAAAACCCTAATTCCTTTAGGGCATGGATCTTGTCCAAAAAGCGTTAGAATATCAAATCCACGCATGCAAACCTAGATCTAGGGTCTAGCTATCAGATGATCACTA